TGCTTCTTATAAATACCACATTCATACACTGGAAGTATAGAAACAACTTGTTTAAAGTTCTGTCCCCAAACGAGAAGCTGCTACAATTAAATGATCAGGTTTGGTCTGTGGTCTCCACTTGGGATGACATGGGTCCTGAGGGCATTTGGAAATGGCTAGACGAGTATAATGGACACTGGAGCAGAGACCAGTGCTGCTGTCAGGCACTGGATAATACACAAGACAGGCACACAGATGTATGCAGCCTAAAATGTCAGTGGTGCTAAAGTTGGAAGATCCCGAGTCAGGTGATGAGAGATGCAGAAAATAAGTTTCAGTGTTGGGCTACGAAGTAGGCTTAGAATTGTTCCCTCTGGTTTTGTCTGAGTCTGAGACAGGATCGATCACACGGTATTTTCTGGGACTGTGCATGAGGCTCAGCCTTTTGAGCGAATTCTTTAGAGGTTGGAGCAAGCGTGTGCAAGCTCTTTCTCTTAAAACAGGTCCTTTTAAAATAAATGAAATGTGAGTTTACTTACGGAGTTCTAGTACCTTTTTGAAAATGGATGACATCTTGAAAGATATAAGGCAAAAAGAATTTTTCTTCCTTAAAAAAAGAAATATTTAAAATATTTTCTTTTAAATCACATTTACAAAATCTAGATTGTGTAAAAATTACTCTGGCTTAATTATAACTTAGTGTTTCATTAGCATTCAGCAGTATAAAAACAGTTCATTTGTAAGCTCGTGTTCATAGGGTTGTGGCCAAGTGTGAGATGCCGGACAAAATTAAGCTAATGGTGCATTTTTTGTTGTTTTTATGGTATATAATGTAACTTAAATCATTCACTTTTATTCTTTAATTTTCATTCAGTATAATTAATCATGTATAAGGTCTAGCTATAGAGATGTGTATGTTCACGCATTTAATGGATTTGTATGTGCATCTGCAAGTAGAAATTCTTAAATGGTAAGATAATGTCTCACGTTAGAACCATGTTCCTCAACCATATTTTGTTAAGTGTATCTAGCTGTATCAAGTTCTTTCTTATGTTTTATGACTTTATCAAAAAAGTTTTTTTCTAAGCCTTTCTCATGTTTCTGTTTGGAGACAGCCTCCGGAACTGATCAGGCAGTGTCATTGCTATCTGCTGACACCTCTGTTGTGAGCAGCTCTATTCCTTTGCCTGACAACTCCTGGTTGCAACTCTACTCAGTCCCATCCTAATCAGAATAAATAGGAGAAGGCAGTCAGGTCATGGGAAATTGCACCAGTATTTAAACATGGTCACCAATTTTTAAATTTATTATGATGAACTTCACATGCTTTTAGTATATTCATGCATGGAGTCATAGTATCATCACTACTGTCTAATTTTAGGACACTTTTTTAAAAATATTTTATTTATTATTTTTATGTGTATGTGTATATTGCCTGCATGTATGTGAAAGTACACCCATGTCATGCAATGCCCACAGAGGACAGAAGAGGCTGTCAGATCCCCAGGACTGGAGTTACGGACAGTTGTTAGTAGCATTATGGGTGCTGGGATTCAAACCCAGGTCTTCTGCAGGAACAGTCAGTGTTCTTAACCTCTGAGCCATCTCTCCAGCCCCCTAGGACACTTTTATTAAAAAAAAAAAAAAAAAAAAAAACTGTTCAAAATCTGAAACTTCTGTGTTTCAAAACCATTAAGAAAAAGAAAAGATAAAACACTTCCAAATCTGTCTGCTAATAGATTTATACCTGAAAAATATAAAGAACGCTCCTACAACACAATACTAAAATGACAACCCAGTTTAAAAATAGGTAAAGGGGCTGGAGACATAACTCAGCAATTAAGAGCACTGACTGCTCTTACAGAAGACCGGGGTTCAATTCCCAGCACCCACATGGTAGTTAATAAATGTCTGTAACTTCAGTTCCAAGGAAATCCAAAAACCCTTTTCTGACCTCCATGGGCATTGCATGATGGGTGTACTTACACACATGCAGACAATATACTTGTACACATAAAAAAAATAATAAAAATAGGGGCTGGAGAGATGGCTCAGCAGTTAAGAACACTGGCTGTTCTTGCAGAAGACCTGGGTTCGAATCCCAGCACCCACATGGCAGCTAACAACTATCCATAACTCCAGTTCCAGGGGATCCGATGGCCTCTTCTGTCCTCTGTAGGCATTGCACGACATGGGTACACTTACACACATGCAGGCAGTACACGCATACACATAAAAAAATAACAAATTTTAAAAAATAACACATAGAATATTTTTTAAAATAATGATATTTTTTAAATAGGTCTAAAGAAGATACACAAATAGCCAAAAAGCACAGAAAAGATGCTAAATCCTTAATGGTTACATCAGGGAAACAAATCAAAGCCAGGATGAGGCACGAATCACATCCATAAGAATGGCTGTAAAAGAAATCCAGATGTGGTAACACAGGCCTGTAATCCCAGCATTTAGCAGATGGATGCAGGAGGATCAGGAGTTCAAGGTCACCCTTGGCTACATAGTGAGAGACCAGCCTGTGCTGCCTGTGACCTTGACTTGGAACAACAACAAAATATTAACAAGTGTTAATAAACCCCTCATACATTATTGGTGAGAATATAAAAATAATGGGACTGCTTTAGAAACAGTTTGACAGTTCCTAAACAAGTTAACCAGAGAGTTACTACAGCATACCTTGAAGATGTTGTGCTTGGTTCTGCACGATAAGGCAAATCATAAGAAATTTTTGGTTGCCCTATACATATAAAAGTTATGTTTATACTGTGCTGTAGTCTGTTAACTATTAAATAACATGACGGGTTTGTTTTTGTTTTTTGTTTTCTTTTTGAAACAGTGTCTCCCTGTAGCCCCAGCTGGCCTAGAACTTGCTATGTAGACCAGACTGGCCTCAATATCATAGAGATCCACCTCCCTTTGCCTCCAGAGTGCTGGGATGAAAGGTGTGTGCCACCATGCCAGACCAAAATACCTTGATGATTTCTTTTTAAATGCACAAAAACACACTTTAATTGAAACATAGTGTTCTGCTAAAAAGATGCAAATAACCATCTGAGCTGATGGAAAAATGGTGCCAATAGACTTGCTCAATACAGGATTGCCTCAGACTGTCAATTTCTAAAAATGGCATTATTTGCAAGCTCAATAAATGAGTATGTAACAAAGTGAGGTATACCTACATGTAACCCAAAGAACACTTGAACACTACTGGTTAGCCATTCCCAGCCCTGCTCCATCCCCACAATCACTGATCTACTTTCTGCCTCTATGAATTGGCCTCCTCCTGATGTTTCACATAAATACAGTCATACTTCTGTGCAACTTTTTGTGCCTGACTTCTTTCGTGTAGCATGTCTTTGAAGAATCAACCTTTTGTAGCATTTATCTGTTCTTCATTCCTTCCCTTTTGAGACAAAGAATATTCCATTGTATAGATATACCATATTTTGTTTATTCATCCATTATTGGATATTGAAATTATTTCCACTTTTTGGCTATTGTGAATAATACTGCTACAAATAATCATGTAGAAGTTTTGGGGTGGACATATTTTCAGTTCCCTTGGCTTTACATCTAGGAGTGGAATTTCTGGGTTGTATAGTAACTGTTTGACTTTCCAAGAAGCTGCCAGACTGTTGTAAAGTGGCTATTCATTTTATACTCCTATCAGCAACCGATTTTTTGAAAGAAGACTAGTTATGTACTCCTTGAAGTGAATTTTCCAAATCCTTGGCCACATTCTCCTTTCCTTGACCTCCATGTAGAGCCTCACGGTTCCTTGACTGACATACTGGAGGTTTAAACCTCTATGTAAGGCTTTTTCATTCCTCCTCCAAACACAACAGTGTCCTTAATTTCAAAGGTCCCTTGAATCACACAGATTTTACTCAGAGCTCTTCCCAGGAACCTCAGTGACTGAACTTTGAGGATTTTTTGTTTAATAATAGATTATATCCTTCAGGTCTCTGTCCGCTTTTGAGAAACACTGCCAAAATGGCTTGGTAAAGTGCTTGCCATACAAGCACGAGGACATAAATTCAGAGCCCCAGCACCCACATAAAAGCCGGGCATGGCAGCACATGTCTATAACCCCAAGACTAGGAAGGCACAGAAGATCCCTGGAGCTCACTGGCCAGACAGTCTGGCTGAATTGGTGAGTTTCAGGTTCAGTGTGAGACTCTAAAAAACAAAGTAGAGATTAGCTGAGGAAGACACACTACATCAATCAGCCTCTGTTCTACATGTGCACCTGCACCTATACATGCATGCACACACAAACATACAGCAACACCACACATACACATGTACACACAAAGACGCCTTCTATATAAAGCTTTGCTCTTAACACTTACGTCTTTGTTGGACACATGCATATGCATACACATACCAGACATGGTCCTATAGCATACAGCTGGGGCATCAGTGCAGGGTTTGTACAGCCTATATCTGTTGCTAACAGTCATATGACCCTTAAATGAGATCTAGGAATCAGCCCCACTATAGCCAGCTCTTCCTTGTCCTCAAATCTATCTATATCTTTCAGCCTCTACCATATCTTAAGGGTGTAAAGATAACAGATTCCATACATGGATTACTCTTGATTCAGGTAATTCTTCTACCTGTTCCAAGGTGGTCTCTATACGTCTTTCAGGGTTGCCGCTCTGATGAACTTGGAGAGTTGGTGAAAATATAACCATTGACTTTTTCTATGCCCTTCATAACAGCAAGATACTCTCCTTTAGAACCATAATCTATTTTCAGAAGTCCTTCTAGCTTTTTGCCTGTCCTCATATACAGAATGTCTGTATAGATATTTGTAGTCTCCCAAGTGCTGGACTAGCTGGTCCTCTTTCCTAAGATACAGCATGCACCTTTTGGCCTGGCAAAAGTAGGCACACACTGCTGAATGAATCCTGACAAATGGAGAAATCGATTTTGTTTCATAGATAACCTATTTTCTGCATAGCACTTAATTTTATGCATGCATGTGTTCTGTCTTGCAGGCTATCGGTTGCACTCTGAACTGCAGTTGCCAAAGTTTCAAACCTGGGAAAATAAACCATCGTCAGTGTGAGCAGTGTAGACATGGATGGGTGGCTCATGGTAACTATTTTCCCCTCTCAGCCGGTATAGAGGAGCTGATTTCATACCAAGGAGTATCAATTGACTTGTAGGCTAAATAGTAAGATTCAGTTATGTGTCAGGTAACAGGCTCACAGCATCATGTGTTATCTCTTTAGATTTCAACTCTATACAGTATCTTAAAAGCTCCATTCTAAAGATGTAGAGACATGCTTCTGTGCTATCTGTGGCAGTGATAGACATGTTCCTTGGTAGCAACCAGCCTCTAATCTTTTAGCTGAAATGTGTCCTAACATTTTTGGTGCAAATGTATCCCTTATTCCTTATCTGAAACGGAGACCTAGGCATCCTGCTTATGCATTTACCAATCTGGCAGCCCATCACTAGCCACTTGGAACCACTAGATACTGGCAGTGTGGCAAGTGCCACTGAAGAAGGGCATTTCTAACCTTATTTAACTTTGATTGGCTCTACTCTTATTAAACAGTTCTACCGGCTGGTAACTGTTGTGTTGAGCAAATTAGATTTATGTGGCTAATTTGTCAAGCCCTGCAGCTCCAAGGCAGCAGATGAGGGCCTGACCGCAGATCTTTCAGGTTCCCAGGCCCATCTTCACCTCCAAATTCTGCTTCCTAACTGTCTGTTCTCGTGATTATGCACTTAATGCATTTGTTCCCCCACCCCTTTTCTTTGCCCCTTCCCTGTTTGTGATGCTCTTACTCCTTAAGGATGCCACAAGAAAAGGAAAAGGCTTAAGTCAGTCGTTTTTATTTTAGAAGTTCCTCTGCATAAATTGAAACCTGGTAGCTATTAAGGATAGTAATCCTTCGTGTATTTTTTGTTTTTTGTTTTTTGTTTTTTTTCTGTTGGAACAAATAAATGAGAATTAGCCCTGACATACTTTTTATGCAGTATTTCTCCTAAAATTAGAACTTTTCCAAACAATATTTCTTCAATTTGATTTTCAGCTCTAAGTAAGCTGAGGATTCCCCCCGTGTACCCAACAAGCCAGGTGGAAATTGTCCAGTCCAATGTGGTGTTTGATATCAGCAGCCTCATGCTGTATGGGACCCAGGCTATTCCTGTTCGTCTGAAAATCCTCCTGGACCGGCTCTTCAGTGTATTGAAGCAAGATGAAGTTCTGCAGATCCTCCATGCCTTAGACTGGACCCTTCAGGATTACATCCGTGGATACGTGCTACAGGTACAGTGACCACGGCCACTGTTCTAGAGTGCCCCTGTAACTGATGTAATCAGTGCCCTGACAGTCATTGGTGGCCATCCTTCCCTTTGATACTTGTTTCTAATGTCTTAAGCCCCTAATTCATATTTTGGGGGGAGTCATATACTTTCTTCAAGATGTCTGTGGGAGCATGACATATTCTCAGTGTTTTTCAATAAGCTGACTCTTCTACAGAAAACCATTTGCCCCATTTTGGATTGCACCTCCATTATTTTTATTATGCCCAAACTACCTAATGACCAAAGATGCTATCTGTGTATAACTGGTGGTCAGAATCTTCCATGCCAGAATCACACAACAAACAACTTCGAAGTTGCCCCTGCTTGTTCTTTAAAGCTTCTGCTACTCTTTTGCAGGTCTTCTTTCCTCCGCTCCATGTATGCTATTGTTGTGTTCATACACTTCCTCTCCTCCCTCTCCCTCTCCCTTATCCTTTCCCTCTTCCTCTCCCTCTTCCCATCTCTCCTTTTCCCTCTCTCTCATCTGCATTCTTCCCTTCCCCTTCATCCTCATCCCTCTCCCCCTTCCTCTCCCTGTTCCCCTACTTCCCCCTCTCCTCACCTTCTCCCACTCCCTCCCCTTCCAATGCCCTCTCTTCCCTTATGCTCTCCTCTTTCTTCCTTCACTTCTTTCACTTTCTTATTTCCCTACCACCTACCACCACCACTACAATTCTCTTTCAGCCTCCTTACATACTCTCACCTTTTCTCCAGTGTTCCAGCCCTTTATCCCTTGTCTATTTCCCAAGCCATGCCATAGGTGTGAAGCCTCATGTTTCACATTCAAAGAGGCCTTGAAGATGTTTTTATAAGCAAATAACATTTCCTGAAATGAATTATATTATTCCTTTGAGAAATTTGTTTTTTTGCCACTTCACTAGAAATTACAGCTAACTTTAATTTTCAATGAAATGGGAGATAAATATATTTTCAAGTCTAATACAAACTTCCATCTTAGGTCAGTCATTAAAAACAGATATTGATAACACTCATTTATTACTGCCCAGCAATACACTCTTCAAGAAATCTTATCAAGTGGGCATATTTTCCCTGAAAATCCAGAAGGCTCAGAGTGCTTTAAGATCTTGCTTCAAGTTACTCTACTAGTATGTGGCAGACCCAGAAACTAAACACGTTCTTCCAAACTCTAAAGCCTGTGATCTCTCCCTGGAAACGTGTTTGCACACCTCTAGTGCAGAACCCCTAGATGTTTAGAAACAGCCCTGTGAAGAGCAGCATTACAATCTTACATTATAACACAGATCAATATTTAATGATCCTAATAATCTTGCTTTCTAGTGTTAGGATTAAAAATATGGAATCAATTACCTTGAACCTCTGGTGCATGAAAAATTTATGATGTTACATCCTCCTCATCTTCAAAACTCTTACATGCACTGTGAAAAATCTCAGTAGGCCATCAAATACATGTTCTGTGATAAAATATTTATTGTAGTTTTGGGAAAAGTTAGGCCTTGCTAGAATTTGAAAGATCTCCAACACTCCAGTGTAATTACAGCTCTGCTTTCTGAACATGGGCAGTAGATCAATACATGTTCATTTGTTTTTTGATGGTAGTTGCATAGGAGATTATTAAATTTTCAGCAAATGAATTCTCGAGTTATATCTAGGCCTGATTGCCCCATTTGTATGCTTTATATTAAGAAATTACTATTGTTCCAATGATATGTACTTTAATTTTAGTGGGGAAATTATTATGCCTGATATATGACAACCAGTTGGTTTGAAATAAGATGAAAAATAATTACCAAGTTTCATGGGCTTGAGTAATATTTTATTTCCCTCTTCTGGACTAATTGTAGGCCACTATTTACATTTGTGTAGTTATTCTACATACAGAGTTTGTGGCCTGGGAGAGTAGGGTGAGCAGAGATTAAACTCTATAAGTCCTGTGCTAATCCAGAGGGAAAATACCCTAGTGTAGTCTGGTGGAGACTCTGATCAAATGGCACCTTTCATGGAGACCAGAATAAAGAGTGGTAATTGGTCATTTTTTAAAAATTCTACTTGGTGTTTAGGATGCATCAGGGAAGGTGTTAGATCACTGGAGCATCATGACCAGCGAGGAGGAAGTGGCCACCTTGCAGCAGTTCCTGCGCTTTGGAGAGACCAAGTCCATAGTTGAGCTCATGGCAATTCAAGAGAAAGAAGAGCAGTCTATCATCATACCACCTTCCACAGCAAATGTAGATATCAGGGCTTTCATTGAGAGCTGCAGCCATAGGAGTGCTGGCCTCCCCACGCCTGCAGACAAAGGAAATCCCAGCAGCATCCACCCTTTTGAGAACCTCATAAACAACATGACTTTCATGCTGCCTTTCCAGTTCTTCAACCCTCTGCCTCCTGCTCTGGTAGGGTCACTACCCGAACAGTACATGCTGGAGCAGGGACAGGACCAAAGCCAGGATCCCAAACAGGAGATCCACGGATCTTTCTCTGACAACAGTTTCTTAACTTCCACAGCATTTCAAGTTGAAAAAGAACAATGCTTAACCTGTCCAGATGGTGTTACTCAAAAGGAAGACAGTGCCCACTTAAGTGACTCGAGCTCGTACAGCATTGCCACTAAGCTTGAAAGGACACAGCTCTCCCCAGAGGCCAAAGTAAAGCCTGAGAGGAACAGCCTTAGCACAAAGAAGGGCCGGGTGTTCTGCACTGCATGTGAGAAGACATTCTATGACAAAGGCACCCTCAAGATCCACTACAATGCCGTCCACCTGAAGATCAAGCACAAGTGCACCATTGAGGGGTGTAACATGGTGTTCAGCTCCCTGAGGAGCCGGAACCGACACAGTGCCAACCCCAACCCTCGCCTGCACATGCCAATGAACAGAAATAACCGGGATAAGGATCTCAGGAACAGCCTGAACCTGGTAGGCTCTGAAAGCTACAAGCACCCAGGTTTCACAGTGATGTCTCCAGACTGTGGGCCTCTCCCCAGCTACACTGGTTCAGTGGAGGATTCCAAAGGCCAGTCAGCTTTTGCAAGCATTGGGCAAAATGGTGTGCTTTTCCCCAATCTAAAGACGGTCCAGCCAGTCCTTCCTTTCTATCGCAGTCCAGCCACTCCCGCTGAGTTGGCAAACACGCCTGGCATGCTGCCATCTCTCCCTCTGCTGTCCTCTTCAGTCCCAGAACAGTTGGTTTCCAATGAAATGCCATTTGATGTTCTTCCCAAGAAGAAATCCCGGAAGTCCAGTATGCCCATCAAAATAGAGAAAGAAACTGTGGAAATAACTAATGAGAACAGACACAGTCTCAGTTCAGATGATGACATGCCCCTGCAGGTGGTCAGTGAAGAAGAAGCAGAGGATTGCAGTCCTCAGTCAGACAGAGTACCCAAGGATCAGCACACACAGTCTAGAAGCTTAGGGAAGCCTCTCTCTCCAGGAGAAAGATCCTGCCATCTTGACTCTATGATTGAGTCTCATGGAGCTATCAGCAGAACCCTCGAGCAGACCACACACACAGAGAGGGAAGCTGAGCAGAAGCTAACACTGACCACTATGATGCCAAGAGAGGCTGAGGATGGTGGTCATGAACACCATTTCCCACCTGGACTAGAGCCCCAAATTCCTTTTCCTGACTACATGGAACTGCAGCAGCGACTGCTGGCTGGGGGACTCTTCAGTGCTTTGTCTAACAGAGGAGTGACTTTTCCTTGCCTGGAAGATTCTAAAGAACTGGAGCACCTGGGGCATGCATTCATGAGGGAGAAGGAAGAAAGCCGGTTTCAGTGTGACATCTGCAAGAAGACTTTTAAGAATGCTTGCAGTATGAAAACGCATCACAAGAATATGCATGCCAAAGAAACACACACATGTACGGTGGAGGGATGCGGTGCTACGTTCCCGTCCCGTAGGAGCAGAGACAGGTAAGGCATCTGTTGGCAATCATCTCTTCTAAGACAGTGGTCCATAAGCCTTACCATGTATCAGGCTCACCTGGAGAGTTGTGAAAACAGATTTCTGGACCCTAATCCTAGAATTTCTGCTGTAGTAGACCTGAGATCTAAGAGTTTGCATTTCTAGCAAATTCTCAGGTGATGCCATTGCTGTTCTGAGGGAAATACGAATTTTCAGTTCCAAAAATCTAAAATCATTTGGCTGCAAAACTCAACCTGAAACACCATGAAGCTTTTTATATCTCTCTAGTGTACCTTTTAAAATACTTTATTGTTTTTATTTTTTTGTGCATGAGTATATTGCCTGCATGTATGTAAGTGCACCTGTATCATGCAGTGCCTGCAGAGGTCAGAAGAGGGCATCGGATTCCCCTGGAACTGGAGTTACAGATGGTTGTTAGCCACCATATGGGTTCTGGGAATCAAACATGGGTCCTCTGCATGAGCAGCCAGCGCTCTTAACCACCAAGCCATCTCTCCAACCCCCCCCAGTCTATCTTTTAAAAGGCTTTCTGCATCATTGGTAGTGTTGTTACTAATGAAATTTTAAAATTATTATAAACACTAATATAAATTTCAGTATATGTATCATTCTGCTTTTCTGAAGTGAGAAATTCTGAATTCAGAAACACATCCGGTCTCAAAGGTATAGAAAGTATCATGAACTGGTTCTCTCACCTTAGCAACTTGGGTCAAAGATAACTGTGAAGAGGATGGGGTGGGGGAAAGCTCTTTAAGAATTGCTGTAGTTTCTTAAAACTTGCCTGATTTTCATTTCATAAAATGTCCGTCAAATGAAATCTTTTTCTTTGGTTTCTAGTCAGCCAGCTACATTTGAAAGAATAACTAGTTGATTAAATAATTTTAAAATATTAGCCTGTCAAAGAATAAAGGTGATTGACAAGTTGTTTCAGGGTTGTTGTAATAGGATTGGAAAATGCTGGGTTTTCATGGGACACAAAGTCACACTAGTCACAAAGTGTGCACTCATGGAGTTGGCACTCTGGGACCTGGCACTGGGGTGGCTGCATTGCTCTTGACTTTCTTCATGCACTTTGGTCACTAACCAGTGTTTAGGTCATCCTCCTCCCCAGCCTGTAAAAGGAAGAACAAGCATACCAAAAGATGATCTAGAAGGTTTAACAAAAGGGTCAGCTGTCTGGTGAAATGCAACATGATAAATGGCTCAGCGAATATTGAAATGCTACATTTGTTCAAACAAGCTTGACTTGAAGCAGTTTAGCATCACCACTAACTTAGTCCAAATTGTAAGGCCTAATTTGTTAAGAGGGTGAAAATGTAAAGACTCCCACACACATTCCTGGCTAGAGCTCATAAGAACACTCTCATTGTCTTTAAGAAAGAGGAGAGAACACAGAAGATATTAGTTAAAATTCCTGCTTCTGTTGCTAGGATGTTAAACTAGGGTACCCTAATTAGTGAACCAGTCCTTCTCCTTCACCCTCCAAGAAGAGGAGTATTTGCTCATGAATAAGCTGTTGTTATGAAGAAGAGGTAGTCCTATCAGTTATATTATCGTTGGTATTTATGAGACTATTCAAGTCTACAGTATCTACTAAATTAGAACACATACTAGATTGACAGTACATTTTCATCTGATGCTTTTCATATATTCAGTATTTTCTTATGTTCTGATCTATTTGTAGATAGAAGCTCCTGACTACAACAGGACAGCATCTTGTATTCTAAATGTTTTCAAACTACATATTCCAATAGTCTAGAACTTTAAATGCATTTTATCTAAAGTCTATGGTTTGAAAAACACAATTTTAAGTAGGACTTTGTTGACAAGCCCAGGCCCAGGACCACCACTTCAGCTAAGTCAAAGGTGAGAACTGTGTTGTGTTGTTAGGGCAACTCACTTTCCCTTTTTGAGCCACAGTTACTGGCAGCAGTTTCTCGGGAACACAAGCCCTGCTCACAAAAGGCTTCAATTCAGTATAGCAGAAGACACAGACAGTAAAAGATGATTGCAGATGAATATAAAGATTGCTTCACCGAAATGTAAGCTGCAATATTAGGTACCTAACTGGACTCCTTGATATGTTAATGAAGGCTTCCTCGAAGCAGGGTTATGTCTAAACCAGCAAGTAGTAAATGTTTTAGTTTGAGAACCCTTTTTTACCAACACTTAGCTCAGGATCTGCAGATGCTTTTCTCTGTTTGGGCTGTAGCTATTAGTGTTCCCCATACCAGAAAGTAAAACTGAGAAAATACCTGGTCAAGTCACTTTAAAACAAGAAAAAAAAATATATGTGTGTGTGTGTGTGTGTGTGTGTGTGTGTGTGTGTGTGTGTGTATACACATATATTATGAGAGAGAGAGAGAGAGAGAATATGCTAGTCTAACATTTTTTTTGTGAAAACTACATTTTTCCAAAACAAATACAGTGATATAAATGGTCTATATTTTTGCAAATCTCTAATACCTGGTTTAGTAGAAAACAGCTGGATTCTGACATCTGCTTCTGCATTCAGTCTGTTGCAGACCACATGCTACATAACCTCTGGCACACTACCATATTAATGTTAGCTAGGAACTCTTTGGGAGCTGCTTTGAAGGATGTCGGGGAGCACTAGGCTTGTTCAGACTATACTTTGAGAACCACTGGTCTCAACTAAATGAAGAGGGAAAAGCTGCACTGGGAAGACAAAGCAGTGGGCACCCGATTCACAAGTCCTTGAAGAAGAGGAACCTGGCACGTGGCCCAGAGGGTCTTTGCATTTATAGTATTCACTCGTCATAGGAGACATGGCCCCTCAGGAAATGTGTCTAATCCTCCAAGGCTTGAGAAGGGGGAAGAAGAACCCAGAAGTTAGCTCTTAGTGTTCATGGGATACTTTTTAAAAGAGCTGGACATGAGGCCCAGAGATTTATTTATTTACTTTGCTGTAGTAGAGCTTTTCTGTTCCAAATTCCAGTAAATGTCTGACTTTTTTAACTACTTGTATGTAGTGGAACCAATATGTCAATCTGCTGTCTGGTTTTCTGCCGACACATACCAGCCCCTTCAATGCGGAACACTAACATAATCACAGGGCAGAGCTGGAGCCAAGAAGAGCTGCTTGCAAAGTGGGTGATCTGGAAGTACAGTTCTCATGGTCAGGGAAAATGTGTAAGGGGATAAAAGAAACTGTAATAAATCGTGTACATTTTATGAAATATGATCAATACCTCCCCATATGCATACCTTGGAAGGTTTGGAAGAGAAAACTTAATTTTTAATTTTTTAGGGAGAGGGTATTTTCCCCAACTCAACTCTAGCATAATTCTGATCTGTCTTGGGGAGAGATTTTTTCCTGGTTGAGATTGTTGTCCTGTCACCTGTAAGATTGTACCACTTGGTGAAGGCTGCTTTTTCTTGTTAGAAGTTAGCAGGGGTTCTCTATGCAAGAACAACACAGATTTACAAGTTACATTTAAATGATAACATGGGGTAAACAGCATGTGTCATAATGGATGCTCATCATTGCCTGTTAGGAGTAATCACTGGGTACAAGATTGGTGGTGTGCTCACACTGCTGCATTTGCAAAACTCCTGTCTGGTACGTATTTACACACTGCAAATATGGCCTACCCTGGATGGACACACATGCACACACACACACACACACACACACACTTCTAGCTGATTAGATTCTCACTTGTACCTATAGAACATCAGGGGTGAAACTTGTATACATATTTAAGACCAGCACTATCCAAAAGAAAGATGATGTAAGCCACATAGGAAGTGTTTAATATCCTAGTGGTCACATCAGAAAGCTGAAAAGAAAAGTAAAATTTAATAACATACCTTTCTGTATATTATAGTAGCAATATTTCAGGTGATCAATAACTGTATTAGGTAGTGGGGTTTTAAGATGGTAATATTTCCTCATTTCATTGAAATGAATTCCTCTGCTTAGTTCCTCATAGTTTGTGACTGATGATACTCTCTTAGCATCTCCTGATTCCCGGATCCCAGTTAAATTGGCCTAATTAAAGTAGTCTAGCCATCTTCTGCAAGTGAGATAAAGGAAGTTACACGTCAATCAGATGGTGAAAATGGAAGTTTCCAGACTGTTAGCTTTCCTGTTGAATGCTAGCTTCTGACAAGCAGTAACAACAATGGCCTAGTGTCTGCTAACCACACAGTACACCTCAAAGAGTCCTAACCTTTACCATTACTCCTGCCACAGCACAGGTTTTTCCTGGTGTGTGCCTGCCAAGTCTTTCTACTCAGAATGAAGGCTGGAAAACAGTAATCCAACTCATTTCTACCCATCTTTTTACTCTTGTAGACACAGCTCGAACCTAAGCCTCCACCAAAACGTGTTGAATGAAGCAGCATTGGAAAGCAGTGAGGACCATTTTCATGCAGCTTACCTTCTGAAAGATGTGGCCAAGGAGGCCTATCAGGATGTGGCTTTCACACCACAAGCATCCCAGACATCTGTCATCTTCAAAGGAACGAGTGGAATGAGCAGTCTGGTTTACCCAGTATCCCAAGTTCACAGTGCCAGCCTGGAGAGCTACAACTCCGGCCCCCCTAGTGAGGGTACCATCCTGGATTTGAGCACTACCTCAAGTATGAAGTCGGAAAGCAGCAGCCATTCCTCCTGGGACTCTGATGGGGTGAGCGAGGAGGGCACTGTGCTCATGGAGGACAGTGATGGGAACTGTGAAGGACAGAGCCTCGTCCCTGGGGAAGATGAATACCCCATCTGTGTCCTGATGGAGAAGGCTGACCAGAGCCTTGCCAGTCTGCCCTCTGGGTTGCCCATAACCTGTCATCTCTGCCAAAAGATATACAGTAACAAAGGGACCTTTCGAGCCCATTACAAAACCGTGCACCTCCGCCAGCTCCACAAGTGCAAAGTCCCAGGTTGCAACACCATGTTTTCTTCTGTTCGCAGTCGAAACAGACACAGTCAGAATCCCAACCTGCACAAGAGCCTGGCTTCATCTCCAAGCCACCTCCAGTAACAGCCCCAAACTTGGATGAGTGTTTGTCATAATTCAGGAATAAGATAATCCAAAGAATAAGGTAGTTTGACCTCTTTAATAATTTCTTATGAGCCAGGCAAAAGTATTTGATTTGTATAGTTTTCTATAGCAGGATAAGCACAAGGCAAGCCTGCAGATGTTGGCACTGGGGTAATCCTTCCTATTGGCATTTTTCTTAGCCCAGGAGGTTTTTCACTGACATAAGGAAAACACAGAAAGGCAGTTTTCCCCAGATTTGTTTACATGTTCCCTAGGAGACCTCCAAGTCTACAGATTAACTGGAGGGGATTAGGTACTGGGGAAAACTTCACGAGGCCGGCAGTGTTAAGGGTGTGGGGAAGACATCTCCTGGAAAAGAATGTGGCTACCATGGGCAAGACCCCAGTCCCAAAGATGCTATTTTCAGTTCCTTCTTTACAAATCTGAAACCCAGACTTGAGTTTAGGGAAATGGCATTCGGAGATCAGAGATCATCCCTCCAGTGGGAATGGATAATTGCCCCCCCCCCCCCAGTTGTATATGTAACTCCAGGGAGTTTTGAGAGGAAGCTGGCTGGCCTCTAACATGTTCCTTGTTACTCTTCTTGGTCTGTAACATGCATTTAAGAAGTTAGAGGGGAAAATACTTCATGCACTTAAAAGTAGTGGTCTTCAATTTAATTTAAAATTATTTTGATAATATTTAACTTGTGTTTATGTTATATAAGTATGTGATATGAGTGCAGACATGTCCCTGTCACCTCTGGGTCTCTGCTCAGAAGCAGAACAAGTGACATCTGACACTTCAGAACCACAGTCCACTTCAGGTAAACTTCAGGGTCTGTTCATTTTGATCCCTGTGGAATGAATGCAAGCATGATTCTGATGAAACCATTTGTACATATTCTGCCAGATCATTCACAGAGCATGCTCTGATGACTGTTGTGTGTTTTCAGTCTTTACCCTCTTATAAATATATAGGATTACGATGGACTTTGAAATTTATTTGGTAGAAGGAGAGATAGACACATGCTATGTGTCTTAATATTTAACTTATTCTGAGATATATTCCACACTGCTGTACATGTTTACCTTGTAGAAGGGAAGTATGGTCAGCCCTGTGAAATGAGTCCATCTCTCAAAATTCAGCATTTATAGGATTCTAAAAGACATTGCTTTAAAAGAAATGGTTTTTGTATTCAGAGTTCATGTTAACTGTCTTTTCAATTCATGTTGACTTAATAAAAAAAATCCTTAAAAGGAAATTGAGGGTTATAAGAGATACCGTTCCTCTGGCTTAAGAGTAGAAAAAGCCAACAACCTGTTAACAGTTATTTCAGCTTTTTAAAAAAAATGTGACCACTGAAAACTTGTCTCTAGGACAGATGTATCTTTCAACTTTTTTTGTTATCCAGATGTTTAATATTCTAGTTTCCCCCAAATGGAAAATTTGTATGAAAATGTTTTCTATGATTTAATAAAAATATATGGCATACCTTTTGTTTAAAAGGCAAATATTTATAAAATGGTTTTGCTATATGATTGTCTTTTCATGAAGGCATCTTCTCGTGTATACAAAAAGATACAAACACACTGTGAACTTGATGGAGCTGAAAGCCCATAGATAGTCTGGTAGTTAAGAAAAAGTGTCAGTCACTACTGTCACATCAAAATAGATTGTAATAAGAAAAGAAATGAAATTATTACTTCATTGGAGGATGAGCTGACTATTGATCTTTTATCGAGAAAATATACATTGTCATATTTCATGAATACGACACTATCCAGGATAAGCCTTAGCTAATACTTAAAATAGAACGTAATGAAACATTTAAGCCTTTTCTTGACTATAACTTATTTAATATTTTTTCATTTTTTCCACTGTCATGAATCCAGTATCCTGACATAAAATTATCTGACTACGCTCTGTAGATGAGGTACAGAAAATTGCATGTCAATCAGATGGGGAAGATGGGGAAGTCGAGAACTACATATTCCCAGCTTCCAGACTATTGACTTTCCCTAATGCTTGCTCACCTCTGACGGTGAATGCCAGTGAGCCAGTAGATTAAGAACATGATCCCATCTGTCTCCCTAGCCTCCCTTATATTTGATGCCCTTCATAATTTCTGGGCAAAAAGAATTCATTAGAGGGAAGCTTTCTTGTCTACTAGCATCTATGCTAGTCCCACCTACTGTTAAGTCATCTCTCTCCTGGATGGCTACAGTGGCTTCCAAAATGTCTTGCTTCTATTCTTAAATCCTAGAAGTAGCCAAAATACACACAAATTTGATCATATAGTGCCTAGGCTCAGAACCCTCCAGTGACTTCCCTTAACAGCTAATAAAAAATCCAGAGCCTTCCAAGGTTTACAGAGCCCTGCAGTGTCTTCCCACCACTATACTTACTCCATCCTCGTTCCCACTGTCCTGTCTTTCTATGGTATCTCTTCCAAAACTCCATTCACAAAACCCCATCACATTCCAGCTGATTTCACGTCCTTCTTCCAGATAGGTAGGTATCCCCTTGGCCTCTCTACCATTGTCCAGCCGCACCACCATCACTATGTCCTTATTCACATCCATCTTGTGTGGTCACATCTTCCTAGACCTCCAGAGAATCCACCATGTGTCCAGTGTTCCACCAGAGTGAGTTGTAAACCTCTATAAGAAGTAAACCAAGATCCTCCACTACACATTTTTTGGTCAAAACTCTGGAGGATTTATTAAGAGGAACATTGAGAGACAAATAAAAAAGGAGTGAGGGAAAGCCAGGACAGCCAACACATGTGGTGCAGTTCTGCCCTGAGGAGAGGAAGAGGGAAGGTTGGGTGAAAAGTACTCAAGATCACTGCACAGTCTAAAGGAAGGCTCAAGGAACACACAGGAGTCCTTGAATCGAGGTCAACGATCACATAAGCCTGCATCTGTGGGGAGTGGGTTTCCTAGCATTTGGTGTCCCTGCCGTGCTCAGTCACTTGACATGAAGTCAATGGACATGGAAAGGGTGTCTTAGTGCAGATGCAGCCGTGAATTTAAGAGCACAGTAGTTGGAGTCCTTAGCCAAACATCACTTTGTAATTTTTTTTTATTTTATGTGTATGAGTGTGTTGCCTGCATGTATGTGAGTGCATCTGTGCAGTGCCACGGAGGTCAGAAGAGGGCTTCGGATTCCCCTGGAACTGGAGTTAAGGACGGTTCATAGCCGCCATATGGGTGCTGGGAATTGAACCCTGGTCCTCTGCAAGAGCAGTCAGTGCTCTTAACCTCTGAGCCATCTCTCCAGTCATCATCAAAAATCCAAACATCACTTTTAAGTTCTTGTGTCCTGTTGGAGGCAATGTCAGACCTTTACGTTCCTTTAGACTCAAGTGTTCCTCCTACTTTCTGAAGGGAGTTGCTCTCAGCTCCCAGCTGCTTCTCCATTGTCCATCATCCCCTGAGCCCTCTAGAGATGCCACTCCATTGCTTATCCTTTCCTGCTCAGTGCCTAACTCTTCTTCCCACTGCTTCCTTTTTAAGACAGGATCTCACTTTATAGCCCTGGTTCACCTTGAACTCAACATCCTCCTGCCTCAGCCTTCCAAATGCTGAGATTACAGATGTGTACCACCATGTCCAACTCAGTTCCATTTTGTTAGCTTCTAACATTTGCCAGTTCTTTCATTTGAATGATTAAAAAACAGCAAGCCTGTCCCTTCTCTTGTAGTCCCTCTCCTACAGCTAAGGTCCTTGGATTGTTGTGTTTCCCCAGTCACTCATCTTTTACTTTATCCCACTTACACTAAGGTTCCCAGTGACTTCCTGATGACCTCAACAGAAGGACATGTTTAGTTCTTTGGTGTCAGTTGGCCCTGACTTGGACTGTTTTTTCTCCTCACATGCTCTTTCCTACACTGCCTCGTCTCTGGAACTGACTAGTAGTCCTTTCTAAGTCTTCCCCTCAAGAGCTGCCCTCTTGAGCAGTAAATAAATGTCCATTGGATGTCATAGAATACTATACAGTTTTTCCAGCTCAACTTTTCCTAACTTCATTTCAGTGACACCCCAATTTACCCTCCACTCAACCATTTTCCTCCTGTTTCCTTACTTTGGGGAAGAGGTGTCATTACCAACCCAAATTGACAACCTTGGAGCTGCATCAACAACAGTTAAGACATGGCTCTTCAAGTCCAAGTATCCAAGGTCAAACCCAGGCTAGTCCACATTCTAACCAGGTGATTTTGATGAAGTAACTGCTTCTCTAAGCCACAGTTTCCTCATCAATATCATGAGCATAAAAATGATCTCTACTTTCAGGGGTTGTGATAAGACTCAAATGACACAGTGAGTAGCACTTAGCACAGTGCCTGGTACCCAAGCACTCAATGCATGTTAGTGCTGATGTCACACTATCTAGCACCTCTTTTGTCTCATTCCCAATAGCCAGCACTCACCAAATCCCAGCACAACTGTCTTCCAAAAACGCTTAAATCTTCTCTTCCTCATACCCACAATCAATTTTAGTTTAGCCAGACAATCCTTTCCTCCTTTCTCTCTAAGATTATTCTAGTAACCTTCCACTTTTGTTTTTTCTCAAATCCATTCTTTACCATGCAGCCCCAGTGAGTTCCACAATAAGATCTATTTGACTATTTCCCCACCTCTATATCACTGCCTGTATAGAATCCAACAAGGCAAGCCTATGATTCATTACTCTGTCCAACCCTTACAGTCACCCCACTGTCCCTGGTCAGCCTCTTGTGGCCTTGCATACGAGCTGTAGGAACTCCCTTTCCACTGGCCCCCTAACTCCTTTGAGATTCAACTCAGGAATCGTCATTTGCACGAAGCGTCTTTGACTCCCACTGCTTCCACCTCGGTTTTAAGAAGCCCATTCTCACCAGGGTCTCAGGGTTTGCTCATAGACTTGCCTTACCCTATGCCCACCACCTCGGTGGCAGTCCTATTTGCCAGTATTCACCATTTACCAAAGGCCTCTGAGGGAGGTGTCTGAGAATCCAAGCACTGCTGAATGTGTGATGATAAATATGTTAGGCATAACCCTGCCCTTATGAAGTTTAG